TGACATTTTTCTATCATATTCAAACTTTAGCAAATTTGTCAACACTTGGCACAATAATTATGAAATAATAAGGAAATAATTAGATATTTTTTATGAAATTAATTGATAAACAATTTACTAAGGTTTGGTGAAACAAAATTTGTGTAACTAGTAAACCAGTTTTTTGTAAAGTAGAAACTTGTAACTCATAAAAAATCGCCGGCCCTGAAGTTTTAAAATGCATTTTTTAATTTAAAATATGAAAATGTTTTCAGGTTCATTGGAAACACTTCTAACAAGATTTAAACATTTCCAAAATATACTTTAGCTCGGACTACAGTCTAAGATAGACTTTCGACTATTAACCAGGCTATACCCTAGACTATAGTCCACACTAAACTATAGTCCAGGCCATAGTCTAGACAATACTCCAGAATATCGACTGTAGTATGGCCAAAGGCCAGAATGTAGACCAAACAATAGCTCAGACTATAGACTAGACTATAGTCCAGACTGTATACTAAACTATAGACTATGGAGAAGACTATAGTCCAGACTAGACTATAGTCCAGACTAAAGACTAGACTATAGTCCAGACTAAAGACTAGACTAAAGTCGAGGCTATAGACTACATTATTGTCTAGACTATAGACTAGAATAAAGTACAGTCAATAGACTAAACTATAAAAGAAACTACAATCTAGACTATAAACCAAAATATATTCTAGAAAAGACTATAGACTAGACCAAACAATAAATTAGAACTGGACTAAAGGCTAGTCTATAGAATAGTCTAGTCTACAGTCTTGTCTATAGTCTAGTTTATAGTCTTGTCTATAGTCTAGTTTATAGTCTAGTCTATAGTCTAGTGTATAGTCTAGTCTATAGTCTAGTCTATAGTGTAGTCTATAGTCTAATCCATAGTCTAGTCTATAGTCTAGTTTTTAGTCTAGTTTATATTCTAGTTTATAGTGTAGTCTATAGTGTAGTTAATAGTCTAGTCCATAGTCTGGTCCATAGTCTAATCTATAGTCTAGTCTATAGTGTAGTATATAGTCTAGTTAATAGTCTAGTCTATAGTCTAGTCTATAATCTAGTCTATAGTCTAGTCTATAGTCTAGTCTATAGTCTAGTTTTTAGTCTAGTTTATAGTCTAGTCTATAGTGTAGTCTATAATCTAGTCTATAGTCTAGTATATAGTCTAGTTAATAGTCTAGTTAATAGTCTAGTCTATACTCTAGTCTTAAGTCTAGTCTATAGTTTAGTCTATAGTCTAGTCTATAGTCTAGTCTATAGTCTAGTCTATAGTCTAGTCTATAGTCTAGTCTAGTCTAGTCTATAGTCTAGTCTATAGTCTAGTCTAGTCTATAGTCTAGTCTATAGTCTAGTCTAGTCTATAGTCTAGTCTATAGTCTAGTCTATAGTTTAGTCTATAGTCTAGTCTATAGTCTAGTCTATAGTCTAGTCTATAGTCTAGTCTATAGTCTAGTCTATAGTCTAGTCTATAGTCTAGTCTATAGTATAGTCTATAGTCTAGTCTATAGTCTAGTCCATAGTCTAGTCTATAGTCTAGTCTATAGTCTAGTCTATAGTCTAGTCTATAGTCTAGTCTATAGTCTAGTCTATAGTCTAGTCTATAGTCTAGTCTATAGTCTAGTCTATAGTCTAGTCTATACTTTAGTTTATACTCTAGTCTATACTCTAGTCCCAACAGGGTTAAACTTTTCCTGATACCATTCAACATTTCCCATTAAATTTGTTTTAATCTGTAGGTGGTTACTCTTTGAAATTTTTTTGGCGCATTTGAAACAGAAAGCAATAACATACATAAATAAATCGTTCACTTTTTCTTCAACGTTTGCAGGAAGTTTTTAAATACTTAAATATGTATGTTTGAGTAAATGTGTGTATGTGTGTTTGTTTGTTTGTTTGAGTTTATATCATTTGATTTCTCCTTCCAGTTTAAACTGCTTTGACATTATCAATAATTTTCAATAACAACATCATCACCAATTGATGGCGAAACACAATTTAAATGCGTTATAATTAAACAAGCAACAACAACAACAAAAATATGAAAAAGTAACAATCTTATGACATTTTTTATCTCTGTGTAATATTGTTTTTATGTTCTTTAAATGTTTTTGATGAAGATGTGTTTGTTTTTTTTTCTCAAAAAATTGTTATTGTTCTTTATTTTTGCTAAGAAAATTTATGTGTTAAATAAATTGACAAAAAAACGTACATATTGATTTAAAAAAAATCTGCGATATTCACGCATGTCAAATAATAATAATAATAACAATAAAATATGAATTTATTATTATTTGTTAGTCATACGTTAATAATAAGTATATAAATAAATAATAATAATAAGTATATAAATGAGTTGAAGAATTCTAAATTTAGCTTAAGAGTAATTTAGGAATGATTGAAGTTGGATGATAACTGATCTTGTTATGTTTTGATTTAGGTTTTAAACCACTTATTATAATTAAAGTATGCTCTTTATTCTGGTTATGTATGTAGGTATTTTTATTTTGGATATTTTGTATAATTTTTTTGCATCCGGCTTTAATATGAGATGAAAATATGACAAGCCTTTTTTTCTTAAGCTTTTGTTTACCGTACTTGTTAACAAATAATGTGGGCTTTTGATAATGGTTAAAAAAACAATTAATTGATTATTTATAATTTTTATTACGTTTGTTTTACTTTAGACTAAAGTTCAAACTATATTCCAGACTATAGTTCAGATTATAGACCTGACTGTAAACCAAACTATGGTCCTGACTTTTGATTATAGTTTTGTTTAAAATCCAGATTACAGTTCAGACTATCAGCCAAACTATTGACATATCAATAGTAGTCTATAGCTAAGCCTCTAGTTCAAACTATAGCTGAGATTATAATGAAGACTATAGTCCAGATTATAGACTGGACTACAGTTCAGACTATATATCAGATTAAAGTTCAGACTATCATCCACACTATATCACTTTACAGACTTTACTTCGGTTTATAGTTCAGACTATAGTCCAAATCATAGTTCAGGCTATAGTTAGACTATAGACTAACCGTAGACTTGACTATAGACTTGTCTAGACACTTGACTATAGACTTGAATATCGACTAGACTATTAACTGGAGGCTTAACTATAGACTAAACTCTAGACAGGATTATAGACTAAAATATAGGTCACACTATATACTAGACTATAGATTAGACTATAGACTAGACTATAGATTATAGACTAGATTATATACTAAACAATTGACTAGAGACTAGACTGCAGACTTGACTATAGACAAGGTTATAGGCCAGACTATATACCTGAATATAGACTAGACTAAAGACCTGGCTAAAGACTTAACTATAGGCTAGACTATAGACTTGACTACAGACTAGTCTATATACTAAACTACCGACATGACTATAGACTAGAATACACACTAGGCTATAGGCCAGACTATAGACCAGAATATAGACTAGTCTATAGATTAGACTAAAGACTAGACTATAGACTAGACTAAACTCTGGACTATATATTAGTCTAGTTTATAGTATAGATTATTGTCTAGACTATAGACTAGTTTATAGTATAGACTTTAGACTAGTTTATATATAGACTACAGTTTAGACTATATACTACTGACTATAGATTAGACTATAGACTAGACTATAGATTCGACTATAGACTAGACTATAGACTTGACTGTAGATTAAACAAAAGACTATAGGCTTGACTATAGACTAGACTATAGACTTGACTGTAGATTAAACAAAAGACTATAGGCTTGACTATAGACTAAACTAGACTATAGACTAGCCTATAGACTTCACTATAGACTAGACTAAAGACTAGACTATAGATTAGACTAAAGACTAGACTATAGACTAGACTATAGACTAGACTATACTCTAGACTATAGATTAGTCTAGTTTATAGTATAGATTATTGTCTATAGAGTAGTCTAGTTTATAGTATAGACTAAAGTCTAGACTATAAACTAGACTATAAACTAGACTATAGACTAGACTATATTTTTACTTAATGTAATAATATGATTTGATAACAAAAACACGGTTATTAATAACAAGTTTATCAAAATTTTAACCTCAAAAAATCTTAACCAAAGAACAAGAAACTCATTACAGGTTGTTAATTTATTATTAACAGCATCATTCACCTACATAAATTATTTTTAAAAAACTCTCGAACAGGTTTTAAATATTTGCAAAAGCAATTTATTTTAAACCAAAAGAAAAAAAAGTAAATAAATGACATTTTTAAAAATAACTACAAAATTCTATACACAGGTACCGTTCTCATTTAAGAACTGTTTATGTATAATTAAAATCAAAACAATAAAAAAAACTCATTTTGTATGCAACAAATAAACAACCTTTAACAAAAAAGGTGTGTTGGTAAATATTAATTTTAAATATATGTAAATGATCCTTAAAAGATCATAAAAAAAGAAAAACGAAAACAACAACAACACACACACATTAAATGCAATGAAATGTAGGACAATGTACAGTCATTTTTGAACGACTGACTAAATGAATGAATGAATTTATGCATGAATTAACGATGGAGTAATGAAGTTTAAGTTTTAAAATGTGAAATTAGTTTATGAACAACATGTAAGTGAAATCTATAATAAGCTAAGAGAAAATACTTTTGTTTAAAAGGTGCCTTTGCAACATTTACAACTTAAAATTGATAGAAAAAAACTAAATAAATAGTTATAGAAAATAGTACATCATCAGTGAGTTTAACTAAATGTTCTTCTTTTTCATTAAAACACAAAATCACTCTACTACTTAAAAACACATTAATTAAAACGACTTTGGCTTTTTGTCACACAACACTACAACTTAAAATTTCATATAAAAAAACCAAAAATAAAAGTAATTCGTCTAATTGTTGTAAGAAAATTTTGAAATTGTTTTCAAAACATTAATTTTGGGTGTTTTTTTTTTTTTTTTTTTTTTTTATAAATTCAATCCTAACCTCGCCGCTTAATAAATCCAAATCAGCAGATGCGGCATGTGAAGCCGTTTTAATAATGTTGTAGGTCTTAGCAAATGGAGCCTTAATAAGCTGATTTTTGTTTCGTTTTGTTTTTATCAATAATATAAAAATAAATAAATTTTAGAAAATAAATAAAAAATTAATTTCTTTCGTTTGAAAAAATTTTCTGTTTAAACAAATTTTAAAAGCGGCTTAAAGATTTTTTCAATTAATTTAAATTAAAAATTATAAAAATTATATTATGATATTTAAAACTATTTTTTAATAATTAATATTTTACCTATTTTAATTTAATTAAATAGTTTCTTAAAATTTAAAGAATTATAATCATAAAAAAACAAAAAAAGAAACTTTTAAAACTTACCTCCCAAGATTCACGTGTAATATCGGTGATTTCTTCACCCTCTTGACTGCCCGAACGTGTTTTCTTGGTGCCACTTTGTGTCCATTCCGTATCGTCTTGTATTAATTCAAAGCCACGAGACTTGATTTGTTCCTCATCCAATTCACCATAGAGATGAGGAACCCAGGTATTGACAAAACGATACAATTCATCAATGCTGTAATTAAGAAATTCAATTTGTTAAAAAAAGTTGAACATTAAAAAAAAAAAAAACTAATAAAAACTCACCGATTTTTAGGTACACTAAACCAATATTCAGGTCTCAGTTTATTTTTACCATAAGACATTACCGATGTTGGCAATGGTATGGCCTTGCCTATAGGTTTACCCATGCGCAAGCGTAAATACAATGGGGGATCTGGACAAGCTCTTGCAGGTCTGGGTATAAGTTCTATAATATAGTGAAAATCATAGATAAACGTTTATTAATTTATTGTTGTTTTATTGTTAATATAAAATCAAATCATGCTAAGTTTATTTTAGGGGTTTAGGGTATCAGTTTTATTAGAAATCTATATACAATGCACTTTAATATGGTTATGTACATTTGTTTATTCCTTTTATTTGATATTTACACTTCTTTTTAAAATTTTATTAATTTATATGAGTTTAATATTATTTTGTAAATTACAACACTTATATACAGTTTGATTAGGATTATGTATATGCGAAAATATTAAAAAAAAACCAACTTAAACCGACTATATATTAAAATTAGTTCATTCACTAGATTATAGTCTAGTCAATACTGTAGACGCATCATAGTCTGATCTATAGTCTAGTCTATAGTCTAGTCTATAGTCTAGTCTATAGTCTAGTCTATAGTCTAGTCTAGAGTCTAGTCTAGAGTCTAGTCTATAGTCTAGTCTATAGTCTAGTCTATTGTCTAGTCTATAGTCTAGTCTATAGTCTAGTCTATAGCCTAGTCTTTAGACTAGCCGTTAGTCTAGTATTTAGTCTAGTCTATAGTCTAGTCTATAGTCTAGTCTATAGTCTAGTCTATAGTCTAGTCTATAGTCTAGTCTATAGTCTAGTCTAGTCTATAGTCTAGTCTATAGTCTAGTCTAGTCTAGTCTATACTATAGTCTAGTCTATAGTCTAGTCTATAGTCTAGTCTATAGTCTAGTCTATAGTCTAGTCTATAGTCTAGTCTATAGTCTAGTCTAGTCTAGTCTATAGTCTAGTCTACAGTCTAGTCTATAGTCTAGTCTATAGTCTAGTCTATAGTCTAATCTATAGTCTAGTCTATAGTCTAGTCTATAGTTTAGTCTATAGTCTAGTCTATAGTCTAGTCTATAGTCTAGTCTATAGTCTAGTCTATAGTCTAGTCTATAGTCTAGTCTATAGTCTAGTCTATAGTCTAGTCTATAGTCTAGTCTATATTCTAGTCTATAGTCTAGTCTATAGTCTAGTCTATAGTCTAGTCTATAGTCTAGTCTATAGTCTAGTCTATAGTCTAGTCTATAGTCTAGTCTATAGCCTAGTCTTTAGACTAGCCGTTAGTCTAGTCTTTAGTCTAGTCTTTAGTCTAGTCATTAGTCTAGTCTTTAGACTAGCCGTTAGTCTAGTCTTTAGTCTAGTCTTTAGACTAGCCGTTAGTCTAGACAGTAGCCTTTAGTACAGTCTTTAGTCTAGTTCGTAGCCCAGTCTTTAGTCTAGTCTTGAGTCTAGTCTTTATTCTAGTCTTCAGTCTTGTCTTTAGTCTAGTCTTTAGCCTAGTCTTTAGTCTAGTCTTAAGTCTAGTCTTTAGTCTAGTCTTTAGTCTAGTCTTTAGTCTAGTCTTTAGACTAGCCGTTAGTCTAGACTTTAGTCTTTAGTCATTAGTCTAGCCTTTAGTACAGTCTTTAGTTTAGTCTTTAGTCTAGTCTTTAGACTAGTCTTTAGTCTAGTCTTTAGTCCAGTCTTTAGACTAGTCTTTAGTCTAGTCTTTAGTCCAGCCTTTAGTCCAGTCTGTAGTGTAGTCTTAAGTCTAGTCTTTGGTCTAGTCTTTAGACTAGCCGTTAGTCTAGACTTTAGTTTTTAGTCTAGCCTTTAGTATAGTCTTCAGTTTAGTCATTAGTCTAGTCTCTAGACCAGTCTTTAGTCTAGTATTAGGCCTACTTTCAGTCAGACTTCAGTCTAGTCTTTAGTCCAGTCGTTAGTCCAGTCTTTAGTCCAGTCTTTAGTCTAGTCTTTATTTTAGTCTTTAGTCTAGTCTTTAGTCTAGTCTTTAGTCTAGTCTTAAGTCTAGTCTTTAGTCTACTCTTTAGCCTAGTCTTTAGTCTACTCTTTAGCCTAGTCTTTAGTTCTAAACTTTAGTCTAGTCGTTAGTCTTTAATATAGTCTTTATTCTAGTTTTTAGATTAATTTACAGTTTTTGTTCTTGAAAAACTAAATTAATCTTATAGTCTGGTGTTACACAAAAACAAAAAACAATTAAAATTTTTATACTTATGTATAGGTGTAGTAAGTATAGTTAATTAAACATACCAACTATATCAAAATTTGGAAAATTAGGTGCCCGTACTACAAGAGATTTTTATTTCGATATTTGATTTTTTTTTTGAATTTCATATAATTTGAACGTTCGTATGTGTGTGATGGTGAATTTTGCAAAAATGAAAATGTGAGAATTTCAAATGTATAATTTTAATTAATTAGATTTATAAATATATAAATAGAATACAATGTGGTTAAAATAAAAATAAAAAAAAACAGATTTAACACAAAATAATTTCTTTTGTAATACTACTGATGTATTTTTGTTAAGTTTGTTTATTATGATGTTATTGTTGTTGAAACGAAACGTGTTTTTGTTAGAGAATTACGCTTATTAAGCCTGTAATAACAATATTAAATACGCAATTAACTGTTTAATAACCCTTTTAAATTTACAAAAATATTTGAATAAAAAAACAATAACGCAGAAATATTTATTTGAAAAAAATTACAATCGATTGTAAAAGGAATTCCCCAAAGAAATGCGGTTTAATAAGAAACTTTTGCAATGTTTGCAAGGCTTGTACGTGATGTATTCTATTAGCAGCAGCAACTGTAGCTATTTTACAACACTTTCTACTTGTTCAAGAATTGTTTATATGGAAGTGTCTATAGTGTAATTTTTTTAATTTTGTTTTAATGCTTTCGCAAACTGTAGCATTTTTACAAGGGTAGTTTAATATGAGAAGTAAATGGTAAACTATTTACTTGGAGAATATCAAGTATGAAAACAAGATTTAAGTTATGATTTTTTTTTAATAATATTAAAGTCTAATAAAAAACAAATTAACTGGGAAAGCTAAATTACCCAAAATTAGTCTACATAAACTCAATTAAACCGTAGATTTAATTAATCTAAACTCTATTAACTGAAAAGAATGACTGTGTCAAGTAATAAATAAAATCAAAAACTTATACTTACTATCGACACTGACAAATAGTCCAGGCTTATCATCTACTGAAACCATAGAACGATAATCCAATTTTGGTTGTTGCTGTTGTTTATTATCTTTAAGTTTGGTAGTAGATGCAGTACCTTCCGAAGATAAAGGACGTATGAAAGTACCTATAGAAGAACGTCTAGAGAAAAGAAAGAATAGATAATGAAACATTTTAATAAATTATACAAATTTCCAACCACATAAACAACAAACCAACTATTAAACATCAAGATTAATATAAATATTTTCAAGATGACAGAGAGAAATATATTGGAAAATATAAGCTAGTCTAAAGTCTAGTATATAGATTAGTCTAAGGTATAGTCTAGTCTAAAGTCAAGTCTAAAGACGTCTATAGTCATGTCTACAAAGTAGTCTAAAATCGTCTATAGTCTTAAGTCTAGTCTATAGTCTAATCTATAATATAGTCTATGATATAGTCAATAGTATAGTCTATAGTCAAGTCAATAGTCTAGTCTATAGTATATTCTATAGTCTGGTCTTTAGTCGACTAGTCTAGACTATAGTAAGGTTTATAGTTTATCTATAGTCGAGTCTAGTCTATAGACTATAGTCTAGTTTATAGTCTGGGCTATAATCTGGGCTATAGTCTAGTCTATAGTCTAGTCAAGTCTAGTCTAGTCTATAGTCTAGTCTATAGTCTAGTCTATAGTCTAGTCTATAGTCTAGTCTATAGTCTAGTCTAGTCTAGTCTATAGTCTACTCTATAGTCTAGTCTATAGTCTAGTCTATAGTCTAGTCTATAGTCTAGTCTATAGTCTAGTCTATAGGCTAGTCTATAGGCTAGTCTATAGTCTAGTCCATAGTCTAGTCTATATTCTAGTCTAGTCTATAGCCTAGTCTATAGACTAGACTATAGACTTGACTATAGACTAGACTATAGACTAGACTATAGACTAGGCTATAGTCTAGTCTATAGTCTAGTCTATAGTCTAGTCTAGTCTAGTCTATAGTCTAGTCTATAGTCTAGTCTATAGTCTAGTCTATAGTCTAGTCTAGTCTAGTCTAGTCTATAGTCTAGTCTAGTCTAGTCTAGTCTATAGTCTAGTCTAGTCTATAGTCTAGTCTAGTCTATAGTCTAGTCTATAGTCTAGTCTATAGTCTAGTCTATAGTCTAGTCTATAGTCTAGTCTATAGTCTAGTCTATAGTCTAGTCTATAGTCTAGTCTATAGTCTAGTCTATAGTCTAGTCTATAGTCTAGTCTATAGTCTAGTCTATAGTCTAGTCTATAGTCTAGTCTATAGTCTAGTCTATAGTCTAGTCTATAGTCTAGTCTATAGTCTAGTCTATAGTCTAGTCTATAGTCTAGTCTATAGTCTAGTCTATAGTCTAGTCTATAGTCTAGTCTATAGTCTAGTCTATAGTCTAGTCTATAGTCTAGTCTATAGTCTAGTCTATAGTCTAGTCTATAGTCTAGTCTATAGTCTAGTCTATAGTCTAGTCTATAGTCTAGTCTATAGTCTAGTCTATAGTCTAGTTCTATAGTCTAGTCTATAGTCTAGTCTATAGTCTAGTCTATAGTCTAGTCTATAGTCTAGTCTAGTTAGTCTATAGTCTAGTCTATAGTCTAGTCTATAGTCTAGTCTAGTCTAGTCTATAGTCTAGTCTATAGTCTAGGCTATAGTCTAGTCTATAGTCTAGTCTATAGTCTAGTCTATAGTCTAGTCTATAGTCTAGTCTATAGTCTAGTCTATAGTCTAGTCTATAGTCTAGTCTATAGTCTAGTCTATAGTCTAGTCTATAGTCTAGTCTATAGTCTAGTCTATAGTCTAGTCTATAGTCTAGTCTATAGTCTAGTCTATAGTCTAGTCTATAGTCTAGTCTATAGTCTAGTCTATAGTCTAGTCTATAGTCTAGTCTATAGTCTAGTCTATAGTCTAGTCTATAGTCTAGTCTATAGTCTAGTCTATAGTCTAGTCTATAGTCTAGTCTATAGTCTAGTCTATAGTCTAGTCTATAGTCTAGTCTATAGTCTAGTCTATAGTCTAGTCTATAGTCTAGTCTATAGTCTAGTCTATAGTCTAGTCTATAGTCTAGTCTATAGTCTAGTCTATAGTCTAGTCTATAGTCTAGTCTATAGTCTAGTCTATAGTCTAGTCTATAGTCTAGTCTATAGTCTAGTCTATAGTCTAGTCTATAGTCTAGTCTATAGTCTAGTCTATAGTCTAGTCTATAGTCTAGTCTATAGTCTAGTCTATAGTCTAGTCTATAGTCTAGTCTATAGTCTAGTCTATAGTCTAGCCTATAGTCTAGTCTATAGTCTAGTCTATAGTCTAGTCTATACTCCAGTCTCATTCTAGTCCATAGTTAGGTCTATTTTACACAAAATCCAATGTTATATTTCTTAGATTTAGGAATGATGAACACAATGAAGATGAAATGTAAAATGATGACAAAGTTAAAATAATATGTAAAGTTATTACAATAACAACTATTGAATTAGTATTGAAGGTGACGTTAATGTTTGATAATAAAGATGAAATGATTGATTTAACATTTTTATGTTATTTGGGAAAAAGTGAAACCTAGCAATATATATTTAAAACTTTTAATACAAAATTTTTAAATTTAACTGGTATAGAGGTGGACATAATTTGTTATAAATATATATTCAGTAGCAAGTGCTGTAGTTTAATTTCAAACGTTTTCAAACAAATAAATAAGAAAACGGGTGAAGATATTTTTATATATAAAAGAAAAAAAGGTAGAGGAAACAAATGTTTTGTTTAAAATATCTATTTACACTTTAAACAAGGCAAAACACACTTTATAATAACAAAAAAAAAAAAAAATAAAGAGTAAAAGAAATGATGAATCATAATAGTATAAACAAATTATCAAAACGTAGTCAACGTGGTGTAGAAAGAAGAACATTTAACATATTTACTTTAACAAAATATAAATAGAAACATTATAATAGTAGTAAAGTAATGAGATTAATACATATTAAGTAGCCCCTACAACAATTGAACAAATTGAGGTGATAGATTTTTTTTGTTTGTTTTGATTTCTTACCCTGAGGAAATATGACCCTCGGAATGAGTGGAATGTGGTGTTAGAGGTGGCACCGGAGAGCCACTCGAATCTTCGGACGGTGTTTTTGAAAATAAATTACCACCCAACTCTGAGACCAAAGTAATGGGCGAACTGATATTGTATGTTTTTTTTTCAACAAAATATTCAAAATAAAAATTTTCAAAATTGTAAAATTATAAAAAAAGGATTGCAGGGTTTAAGTGTTTTATTGGACCAAGAGTTTCAAAATTAATAAAAATGTTTGAAAGTGTTTAGTGATGGGTGGATATGTGTTAAATATAATAAAATAAAAAATAATAGTTGTTTGAAGCCGAATCCAAAATATGAATGCATTTTTTTATTAAAAAAAATCATTTTAGAATAAAAAAAAAAGAAATATTTGAAATAAGTAAATATGACAATCACAAATTTATCTAAATAAACTTGAAATCCTTTAAATACAAAACTATTTCTAGATATTTTTAAGTTGAACTTACCTAGAAAATACTTTTGAGAAAACACTTTGATTAGAATCACCAGTATTGGGGGCAGATTCTTGATCCTGAGACTTGTTAACACTGCCAGCAGAATTGGGAGCACCATCGCCCGTTAAACCCTCAACCCAAGTCAAAGGATAGGAAAGACGTTTTAACATCTAAAGGAAAACAAAACAAGTAAATATAAGAAAGAACTTGTTAACTTATAAATAAAAACAAACCTTATTCTTTTTATCAGCATTTTTATCCTGCTGATTATTTTGATTATTGCCACTAGCAGCAGCTTGAGCTTGATTCTCATCATCTACACTAAAACTCACGCTAGTAGTCTTTTTGCGTGAACCGCCAGCATCTAAACTGCTTCTTGGTGGCGATTCACTGAGGGGTGTTATTGTTATGGGTTTGGGTGGCACCCAATCGGAGCTTAATACAATATCAGCATCACTGTAAACAGTTTTCTTTGGTATGGGTTGTACATTTGGTATAGGATCGCGTATATCGATACCCGAATCGTAACACGCTTGTTTCGATAATTCTTCCAATTCTTCTAAATCTATGGCGTTAACATTACCACTGGCCAAATTAGCCATAATACCGCTTAATGATGATGTAGCCGAATGAGGATCTTGACCACGAGCACCACTATCGGCAGTGGTATTCGATTCATTGTCACCCTCATCTTCCGATGATCTTCGAGAATTAGATAAACATAGTCTAAGTGGTTTTGTGTTTTATATATATTTATTTTGTATGAAAATGTTTTTTAAGCCATTTTTAGGGGAAAAAACAATAAACATTTGATGGTTTGTTTTGTTGATGTGGAGTGGTTGGTGCATCATAGATGTGTTTGTTTTTTACAGTAGTGATAGTGCAGTATTTAGACATAAAACCAATGGGTGCAATAATAAACAAATTTTTGGTGTACATATAGTTTGAAATAAACAGAATTGAAAAGAGAATTTAAATATTTTATAAAAGCAAAGAATGAAGATATATTTCAAAGATTATATAGATTTTGTAAATGTTTTATATAGTCAAATAAAAAACGTTAAGATAAATTTAATTTCATGAAAATTTTAATATTTTTTCAAAATTTTTTTAAGTTTGAAATTGAAAAAAACGTAAAAAATTAGTCTCAAATGAAGCCAAAATTGTAAATTTATGTATCCTTATGATTAAGAGATTATTTTAACAGCTTTTAAAATTTTTCGAACATAAGTTCGAATTTTCGAAAATTTTCGAACAAAAGTTCGAATTTTCAAAATTTCTTTAAAAAAGCTTATATTTTGAAATTTCAATGAAAATACTTTAAAACTCATGAAAATTTTGAAAATATTAATAAAATATTTAAGTTCGAAATTGGAAATTTTAAGAAATTGATGTCAAATTAAACTTAAATTACATTTTTAAGAATCCTCATGCCTCAGAGTTTATTTTAACAGCTTTTAAAATTTTTCGAACACAAGTTCGAATTTTCAAAATTTTTCGAACACAAGTTCGAATCTTTAAAATTTCTTAAAAATACTTATAATTTGAATTTACATTGAAAATTTCTTAAAAATCATAAGAATTTTGAAAATATTTTGATAATTTTTATATTCAAAATAGGAAAATACTTCGAAATTCATAAAAATTAACACAATTTCGAAGTTCGAAATTCGAAAACTTAAGAATTTGTTTTCATTGAAAATTTCTTAAAAATCATAAAAATTTTGAAAATATTTTGATAATTTTTATATTCAAAATAGGAAAATACTTCGAAATTCATAAAAATTTACACAATTTTGAAGTTCGAAATTCGAAAACTTAAGAATTTGTTTTCAAATAAATTAAAATTATAATTTAAAAAATTTGTTCGATTTAGATATTATTGATGATCTTTTCTAAAGAATCTGATGATCTTATCGGAATCTGCTGATCTTTTTTATAGGAAAATTCATTAGAATCTGATGATCTTTCCTATATGAAAAGTCTTCAGAATCTGGAGATCTTATCTATAGGAAAACATCAGAATCTTTTCTATAAAAAAATTTATCAGAATCTAATGATCTTTTCTATAGAAAAAGTTAACAGAAACTGATGATCTTTTCTATAGAAAAAGTTATCAGAATCTGATGATCATTTCTATTGGAGATATCATCAGAATCTGATGATCTTTAACAGAAGTTAACAGAATCTGATGATCTTTTCTATAGGAAAATATCATCAGAATCTGATGATCTTTTCCATTGGAAAAAGTTAACAGAATCTGATGATCTTTTCTATAGAAAAAGTTATCAGAATCTGATGATCTTTTCTATAGGAAAATATCATCAGAATCTGATGATCTTTTCTATAGGAAAATATCATCACAATCTGATGATCTTTTCTATAGGAAAATATCATCACAATCTGATGATCTTTTCTATAGAAAAATGTCATCAGAATCTGATGATCTTTCTTATAGGAAAATGTCATCACAATCTGATGATCTTTTCTATAGAAAAATGTCATCAGAATCTGATGATCTTTCTTATAGGAAAATGTCATCAGAATCTGATGATCTTTCTTATAGGAAAATATCATCAGAATCTGAAAATCTTTTCTATATGAAAATATCATCAGAATCTGACGATCTTTTCTTTAGGAAAATATTCAGAATCTAATTATCTTTTCTATAGGAAAATATCCAGAATCTGATGATCTTTTCGTAGGAAAATATCATCAGAATTTGATGATCTTTTCTATAGGAAAATATCAAAAGAATCTGATGATCTTTTCTATAAGTAAATATCATTAGAATCTGATGATCTTTTCTATAGGAAAATATCATCAGAATGTGATGATCTTTTCTATAGGAAAATATGTGATGATCTTTTTTAAAGTAAAAGTCATCAGAAGCTAATGATCTTTTCAATAGGCATACCAGCAGTGACAGATGATCTTTTCTATGGGAAATGTCATCAGAATCTGATAATATTTGTAAGAAAAACACATCAGAATCGAGTGATGTAAAAACCGATCAACTTTTAATCCAACATAACGGATTTTTTAAATAAACATAAAATATTTACAAAAAAATTTTAAAATAAAAACCAAAACCAAACATTTATATAACTTAACAAAAAAAAAAATATAAACATTTATTATTTATAATAAATAATAAAGGACATCGACTCACCTATCTTTACTAGGTATAGCCCAATGATGATCCAAAAGACTTTTACGTCTTTCTTCTAAGGTGGTACGAGAATCAGTTAGATTAATATTTTTCTTAGTTTCATCATCTTCGGTGTCATTGGTGCCAGAACTGGCAGCATCAAGCTCAGTCTTCGAACTATCTTTGGCTTCCGTAGATTTATTATCAGTTTTCTAAAGAAAAAATTAAAAAAAAAAATTTTAAGGCACTTTATTTATAAACAAATTACAGTGATACTAACCTCTGTCTCACGACCTGAACCGGAGCATATAGACTCTTGATCGTCTGTCTTCTCTTTACATTCGGCACCAGCTTCAATTGTTTTTGTTTCATCTGATTTCTCTTTGCCATCGACATTATCTACTCCTTGTCCTTTCTCCTCCTCGTCTTTGGCCTTTTGGGCATCTAATACTGTTTTGGGATAATAAATTTCTGGTTTTTCCGATTGTGTATTCGAATTATCAGCTGCTCCGCCCGATACACGCATATGTGCTATATCATGAAAGATGGCAGCATTAACACACAATTCCATAGGAGCTATAACACCATAACTTTCGGGTCCATGTTCAATAACCAAGGGATCCGAAACATTTGGATCAAACATAACCGCATTGGGTGTTACTAAGAGAACACCACCCACTACACCTTGACCATCGGTTATGTGACGTACATTGATTTTAAGGAAACGTTGTGTTATAACCGGATCATCGGTTTTATTGGCATCTGTACGACCGGTGGCATCCACACGTTCAATGTGTCCAGGTTTTGGTGAACCAGGACGTAAACTTTCTAAGATATCTAAAAAAGAGTAAGAGAGAAAAAAACAAAAACAATATTAGTTAAAGTGTTTGGGGTTTTAGGAGGTATATATGTAAAACTTTATGTAAAAGCAAATTCGTTATATACTTAGGTGTTTTTTTTTTCTTCACTTATTGTTATTGTTTTAGTGTATTAAACTATTTACTTATATTTTTTGACCGAGTTTTCTAATATAATATATTGCATTGATAACTTTTTTTATATATATTTTCGTTTATTTTGTTTAGATAAGATAAATTTCTAAATTTATTTTATTAATTACAAACCGTAGGTTTGTTCTATTTGCTTTTTTTTATAACAAAACAAGTAAAAAAGAAAATTTTGGGAATTAATAAAATTCAATTTATATTTGTACAATAAACTAACAAAAAAAATATTCCATTAAAAATTATATAATCTTGGCTATAACTTTAAAATGAAATAATGCATTTTTTTTAAAACAAAATTGATTTATGGCATTGTAAAATTAAATAATTTCAAATTTAATGGTTAGAGATTGTTAAACATTTCGTCAGTTACTAGAGCCATCATATCAGTAAAAGTTTGTCATCATTTTAGACAAACTTACTAAGTCTTCTATTCCCTAAAGAAAACTTAACTTTTGTCTTCCATTACTGCATTTTTTTACTTCATTTTGAGAACACTTCTCCAAAACTGTTTGTTTAATTGAATAAATTTTTCTCATTTAAACTTTTGTTTATAGTTTTCTCTTGTTATTATCAAATGTTAAGCTTTTCAACACTCACTATTCTTGTGTAATCTAATAGTCAGTCGTTAAATTAACCGAAAAAAAAATTGTTTAATTAGCTGTTATAAAACACTTATTATAAAGTTTTTTTTTTTAATTTTTTGTAAAAAGTTAATTAATTTATTAAATGACAAATAAGAAAGTCATTGCTCGCAAAAGCGAATATGTTTTATTAAAACTCAAGATCAATGGTCACAAAGAGCTCTCTTGATCATCATGCTAGATGTCTAGGGCTCCTGTATTGACAGTACATAATGTCTTCTGTAGCAGCTGTTACAATGAATATGAGGAAGAAACGGTGGCATATCTTCTATGTGTTAGTTTTGGTCTGTGTGTGAATCGGTAACAAACTCTGGGTAGTGAGTATAATTCTGATTTTTCTGAACGTTCAATTAGAGTGTATTATTGTGTTTTATTAAAGCATATAAATGGGTGTGCTTAATATAATACTTTATTAGGAATGTAGAACTCATATCTTGTCTCTTCTACATTTGCTTCACTCTTCAAATAAACTGCTTTTTCGCTTATCCTGTCGTTTACTTTTCTCTACAATTCTTTATATCTCTTCTTTCTCTATTCAGCTTTTTTTCTATTTTCTTTTAGGCAAACACAAGGAGATCTTTAGACTATTATATGAAAGCAAAACTTGGCCGGAATCCACAAGGGATTTAAATATAAACCAAGTTTTTTTAAACCGTAGTTTGAGAAACATTCTAAGTAGATGATGCCCTAACAGCAGCATCTCTAACTCTCGAACTTTTTAGATGGCACAAACATATACCAGTTGGAAAGGAGAAAACACGCATTGAAAACTATTAAATAATATCAATAGAGAAGCGTTAGACTGGCGCCCACAAGGAACTCGACACAGAGTATCATATCGTAGAAATTGAATGAAATAAAGTCTGTGAACGAGCATCCAGCTAGACAGAGATTAATGAAATATCTAGAGATCGTAGTAAATTTAAAGAATGTTGCAATAAATATGAATATTCCATCAACATTTTCCATATAAAGAAGCGCACAACAGACTCTATAGCGGCCTAGGCGTATAATCGACTCGGTAAATCTTCTGGGTTAACAACCCTTTAGGAATTGACCTCTTTCCATAAATCTCTCCTCATTAACAATGTCCTTTCTTTGAATATTCACAAAGTTTTAACTGAATTTTGAACCAGCAGTTCCTTTAGCTCAAATGTTTTGGCATTTATATACTTAATAAAAAGACAATATTAAATACAATAGTTCGATGTTATAATCGAAAAACTTTTAAAGATGTTAAAATAAACAAATCATAAAGATTTCAGAAAAATTTGGAATGTTTGAGTTGTCAACGTGTCAGCAGCATCAGCTAGGATTATTTCAATTACCATTAAATAGAAACAGCATTTTCCACTCAAGTTGTTTTAAGTTTTAGTTTATACGATATTGAATCATTTTCAAATTTAGATATCACTCCATAATCAACTCCATAATTCACAAAGGGTTATTATTTCACAAAAAAAAACTCTGGTTTACAAAAAATCTACGTTTTAAATTGATTTCAATTGTGTTTTTTCTTTTTTTATTATAAATTTTGAAGTTATGATCTCTCAAGCTGTGTTTTACTGAATAAGAAAAAAATAGAAATATTTATTTTCTTTTTGAACGTGTATTTGAATTTTTTTAATAAAACGAAATAAATACAAATACAATGCATTAATTTTTTGAATAACAAATAAACGTGTTTAGTGTTTTTTGAAAAAATAAGTTCAATATTTACTTTGCAGCTTATTTAAAGAAAATAACATACCATTTTGTTTGACGAACAAAAAATATTGTACAAATTTTAACTTTTTTAATAAATATTTGTTTAAAATATGTATTTTTCACAAATTTATTTTAAAAGTAGTTTAATAAAGAAGTTGTCAAATTTATATATTCTAAAATTTAAAAAATTTAATTCGAAATTTGAAAAAACTTGCTATGGCATTTAAAAAATTCAGAAAATTCTCAAATCATTACCTTTATATCTTATTAAAATATGTTTAGATCTAAACGAACACTTCGCTGATATTTCCATTACAAGACTAGACAATATCCAGTCAAAAAATCTAAATTACAACCAGAAAACAAACTATTCTATTTATAATTATAATAAAATAAAGAAATAAAATATAAAATAAAACAAATCATAAATTAATAAAATTTTATGGAGACCAAAACCACAGCTATTGCTATCTTTAGGAACAGTAGTAGTAGAAGATATTTAATTTGAATTATAAACCATAAGGAAACCACAAGGTAAGAGTGAGGTAACAGAAAGAAAACAATTAAGAATGTATAGTGGATCATTGGTGGAACATATGACACCCTACAGCAGTGATGAATAGGTATAATGAAGTTTGGCAGGATCAAAGGAAGTGAATTAACAAACCTTCTAAGTTGAAATAGCTTGGGAATCAATCTCTTATTGTTCCTTTCATTCCTTTTTATGTTATTGTTGTTTTTTCTAGCGTTTTGTTTCTCTATCTTTGGAACACTTTCTACGAAGGGAATCACAATGAATCCTATGTGGAGCAAAACCTTTCATAACCCAACGAAGGCTTATAAAAACCTAGTTTAACTGATTTTTGTAGACTTATGGGTGTAGCATAAGCTTTAAAACTCTTTCCAGGGGCAGGTTGTTTAGGAGCTAGATAAAATAATGGATCGATTTCAATTATTTTTAAAATTCAATCAAATTACATTAAAAATTGCATCCGGTAACTTATGCATAAGGTTTACTTGAACAGCCGGCTGGCCAGTAGAATGGACAGGACTTTATCGAATCACAAAGTAGTGCTGAGTCTATTAGTATACATTAGGCTTAGCTCCAATAGGTTTGCGTGTTACAAACACCCTTACAAACACATAATACCCTTCCTTCACCCTTATGCTATAAAAACTTATCTTAATTCCTTAAAAAACCAGAACATGACGACGTTTAATTAAAAACAACAAATTTTAACAAACAATTTTTAATGAAAATTAAAAGGGGGGACTCTTATTAAAAGATAAACATTTGATTAACTAAAGTAAATCGCAAAAATAAAATTATTAATTTAGACTGGTTATTCAAGGTTTCGTTTGTTTTTTTTTTTTTTGTTGTTCATAACACCAGCAGCAACTAAATGACTACTGGAACACTCACTGGTACGGACTGACGTAGAAAATTATCTTGACAAGACGTGCATAACAATAAATTGTTGTAAATTATTGCACTTTTTCTAATGCATATTTTGTTGCTGTTACCAGAGATGACTGACTACAACTATTGTTTTGCACAATTTAACAAATGCGAAAGTTCTTCTTTTTAAGTATAACTCAACGTTATCATAAAATATTAACTAATTTTAAGCAAATATGCAAATAATTAACAAAGTAAATAACAAAAAAAAGAAATTTATCACCTCCATTCCGCCAAAATACAGCCGTATGCATTGTTCTTTAAGTTTATTGTTTTCTTAGTTTTCACGTTTATTCACTTTTTAATTTGTTTTCTAACAAATTTATTAAAAACTTTAACACTTTTTAAAGATTATTTTCAATTTTCTTTATTAATTTCCAACGTTTTAATTAAAGAATGTTGTAGTTCTTTTCTACGCACACAGAAAAAAAAACAACACCACTAGCAGAGGAGAAATAAACAGAACAATAATAAAAACATATGAAGAAAAAACTGATGATGAATTGTCAATTCAATGTCAGAAATAAAAGGGTGAAGATACAAAAGCCGTTTTTACACTACAAAACAAAATGTTAATTTCAATAGAACAGCTGTGTTTGGTTAACAGTATGTTATATTATTTTAACTTTTGTTTTTAAAGTAAAAAAGCTGTTATGAACACAACAGCGTGTGTGTGTGAGTTTAAGCTAGAGACCAAAGTTGCATGATTGAATATCTAAACGCCGTTACATTTAGCAAAATGTTCCCGCCAAAGTATATTCAAACGTTTTGTTACGAAAATTTGAATATTTATTAGAAATTTTAAGATTTCAGGATAAATTTTTAAATTTATATGTATTTAGAAAATATAATTTTTAATGAAATTAGTACAACATTTACTGATAATCAATTAATTTTTTCTAAAAAAAAATTAATTTTATAGTTTTATAAATGCGTCTTTATTTGCCCGGGAAAATGTAGCGCTTTTTTGAATATGTTTTTAGGACATATTAACATAATATATAAGATCAATCCACTGTAATACAAATACAATAATATGTATGTACATAATTTGCTTAAAGTGAGAATGATCCAGTTAAAAGAAACCACACTCCCGAGTGTCGTGCTTTAACTTGTTTTTTTTATTTAGTTATTGTACTAAAACTAAAATGATCATGTCATTACAGTTGTATTAAAGCTTTATTTTAAAATTACGACAGAATATTTAAATTGTATGAAATTGTTTATAATTTCACAAGTATGTATTACTTTGAAATAATGAATGAAATTCTAATGTAAAAATATTTAAATGGTTTATCACTTTAGAAACCGGTTTAATGATGAAAATATTAATAAGCTTTTTCCAAACATGCAAAATATTAAATAATAATTATTTCATTAATTGAAACAAAATAAAAATGCTGTTGATAAATGCCATTTATATTTAGCATAGAAATTGTACAACAAATTATTAGGTCAGAAGTTTGTGGTTAGCATTTGTTTCTGACCACAAAGATTAAAAATAAAAACGTGCCCGCAAAAATAGCATTTAAAACACTAAAAAAAGACTTATCTCAATTGGCAATGTTTTAATAAAAACTCGCAAAATGTTTAGAAAATGTCAAGAGACTAGTTCATAGTTCTGTTTATACAGTAATCCTTAGACTAGGCAACAGATCAGTCAGTACTCTAGATTAGTACACTAGTAAAAAGTCAATAGAATAATTAGTCAATAAACAAAAAATGGGGAAGTACCAAAATAGTCTAATTATTTTAATATACACCCAGTTCATTAGGTGCTATCATTTTTTTCAAATGAAAGTTTATAAAGAAACAAATTAAATAAATGGAAACAAATTGTAGCAAATTTTAGATTCCGATAAGAATATTAGCACCCAACATAAGTATCGTAACGAATTATTATTAAGTCATAAGTTGAAAAGAACGATTCTTATACTTTTTCTAACCACAAAGATTAAAAATAAAAATAAACAAGCCTCCAACAAATGATTCGATTTAAAAATATTTATAGGAAAAAAAATTAAGAAGCAAAAATAAAACTACAATTGATAATGATCCTGACCTTCTTTGACTTTTAATGTAATTTGTAATGACAGCTTTAAGAGTAAATCTACTTAAAAACATCTTACAAATATGTTTATTTTTAGGACTATATACTAGACTATAGACTAGACTAAAGACTAGACTAAAGACTAGACTAAAGACTAGAATATAGACTAGACTAGAGACTGGAGTAAAGACTAGACTAGACAATATACTAGACTATAGACTAGACTATAGACTGTTCTATAGACCAGACTATAAACTAGACTACATTCCAGAACATATACTAGACTGTAGACTAGATTATAGACTAGACTATAGACCATACCATACACTTATCTATAGACTAGACAAAAAACTGTTCATTAAAAAAAGTACCGAAAATGTCGTGGAGATATCGTCGTATTTTTCGATATTAAAACGATATTAATGTGTACTAAAGTACTGAACTTTCCATGCCTGCTCTTTTCCTAACTGAAAATGTAATAACATTTTAAATTCAAAAATTTTGATGAACTTTTCCAATTTGTTACAAATAAAATTTGAAAACTGATATAACATTCCAATTAGTGGAAGAGTGCAAAAAATATTAAACTAAAAAAAGTGCTTTCATTCTCATAAACTAATAAATAAAAGTTGTAAATTAAAATTTTTAAAAAAATAACTAAAAAATAATTAAAAAAAAAAAAAAAAAACAAAAAACTTACCCTCACTTTGCTCTTCAGCTGATAATTTTCTTTCAATCGGACTCGATTTGCCCGAAGCACTAGAACCGCCAATTTTATCATCTGTAGAACTGGTCGATACATTATCCTTGGCACTTTTATCGGGTACCAACAGCTGTTGGCCGGGGTAAATAAATGAACTATTCAAACGATTTAAATGTGTCAATTCCGAGGGAGTAGTATCAAAACGTGCTGCCACCGATGTCAAAGTATCACGATTGCCCACCGTATAATTAACGGTGGGTATGGTTGGTAGTGATGATTTTTTGCGTTCATCTAAAACAAAAACAATAACAATTTAACTGTGTTAAAGCAACAAAAAAAAAAAAAAACTAAATAATAATAAAAAGAAAACTTAATGGTTTTTGTATTTGTTTACTTTCAAAGGTGGTTATAACAGTTTGTTCAAATATAACAAAATCTTCAAGTTCATCAAAATAATGATGATTACTATGGCTGCTACAGCTGTCAAATTCTTGTTGCTGTTGTTGTTGCAAGTTATCGGCGCTTATATAAACTACAACAAAATCTTTAGCATGAAGTTTGTGATCGTGATCAACCGCAAGATTTCCACTACTATTACTCATAGAACGTCGATAAATTTTTATTATTTCCATTGTTTAGCATTTTATTTTTGAAACACGTTACAACAAATCTAATCAACTTATTAGTATCTGCACACTCAACTGTCTAATTAAAAGTTAACACTGAATATGTAGTTTTATTTATAATCTCAAAAAAGCTTTGCCGGTCAATTTAATAATAATAAACACTACGCTCTTCCAATCACATTCAAAATGTAAACAATTGTTAACGAATATTTTAAATTTTACAATAATTAGACGTCAAATAAAAACAAACTACAACTGACTACTGATTTTTTGTTTTTGCTGTGGTTGGGAAAAAATAACGAATGTAAACAAATATTTAAAAAACTCATAAAAGAAATAAGAGAAACAGAGAGAGAGGGAGAAAATTAACGTTTTCTTTGAAACAGTGTTGCCACGACACCGTTAGAAAAAAACTGCTAACTGACGTTTATTAAAAATAAAAACCTAGACTATAGACAAGACTATAGACTAGACTATAGACTAGACTATAAACTAGATTATAGACTAGATTATAGACTAGACTATAGACTAGACTATAGACTAGACTATAGACTAGACTATAGACTAGACTATAGACTAGACTATAGACTAGACTATAGACTAGACTATAGACTAGACTATAGACTAGACTATAGACTAGACTATAGACTAGACTATAGACTAGACTATAGACTAGACTATAGACTAGACTATAGACTAGACTATAGACTAGACTACAGACTAGACTACAGACTAGACTATAGACTAGACTATAGACTAGACTATAGACTAGACTATAGACTAGACTATAGACTAGACTATAGACTAGACTATAGACTAGACTATAGACTAGACTATAGACTAGACTAGACTAGACTATAGACTAGACTATAGACTAGACTATAGACTAGACTTTAGACTAGACTATAGACTAGACTATAGACTAGACTATAGACTAGACTATAGACTAGACTATAGACTAGACTATAGACTAGACTATAGACTAGACTATAGACTAGACTATAGACTAGACTATAGACTAGACTATAGACTAGACTATAGACTAGACTATAGACTAGACTATAGACTAGACTATAGACTAGACTATAGACTAGACTATAGACTAGACTATAGACTAGACTATAGACTAGACTATAGACTAGACTATAGACTAGACTATAGACTAGACTATAGACTAGTCTGTAGACCAGACTATAGACTAGACTATAGACTAGACTATAGACTAGACTATAGACTAGACTATAGACTAGACTATAGACTAGACTATAGACTAGACTATAGACTAGACTATAGACTAGACTATAGACTAGACTATAGACTAGACTATAGACTAGACTATAGACTAGACTATAGACTAGACCTATAGACTAGACTATAGACTAGACAATAGACTAGACTATAGACTAGACTATAGACTAGACTATAGACTAGACATAGACTAGACTATAGACTAGACTATAGACTAGACTATAGACTAGACTATAGACTAGACTATAGACTAGACTATATACTAGACTATAGACTAGACTATAGACTAGACTATAGACTAGACTATAGACTAGACTATAGACTAGACTATAGACTAGACTATAGACTAGACTATAGACTAGACTAATAGACTAGACTATAGACTAGACTATAGACTAGACTATAGACTAGACATAGACTAGACTATAGAACTATGACTATAGACTAGACTATAGACTAGACTATAGACTAGACTAGAGACTAGACTATAGACTAGACTATAGACTAGACTATAGACTAGACATAGACTAGACTATAGACTACTATAGACTAGACTATGACTAGACTAGACTATAGACTAGACTATAGACTAGACTATAGACTAGACTATAGACTAGACTATAGACTAGACTATAGACTAGACTATAGACTAGACTATAGAGTAGACTATAGACTAGACTATAGACTAGACTATAGACTAGACTATAGACTAGACTATAGACTAGACTATAGACTAGACTATAGACTAGACTATAGACTAGACTATAGACTAGACTATAGACTAGACTATAGACTAGACTATAGACTAGACTATAGACTAGTCTGTAGACCAGACATAGACTAAACCATAGGTTAGTCTATAGTCTTTTTAAATCTATAGTTTTATCTATAGTTAAGTCTATAGTACAATCTATAGTCTTATCTATAGTTTAGTCTATAGTACAATCTATAGTCTAGTCTACAGTCTAGTCTTTAATCTATAGTCTATAGTTAAGAAATCGAAGAACGTGAAAGGATATATCCAAAAACGGAAGACCTATGATGATTTAAACTATCTTTAAATAAATCAGGAGAAACTCCAATTGGTTCTGCTAGACAGTTCTGAACTGACTGTCAGTTCTCAATATCGAAAAACTAGAGGAGCCCGAACGAATATACCAAAGCAGTTGACATAAAAACTCCTATTGATTATCTTATGAGCTCACGAAGAGGTCATTGAGAGTGCTAGAACATTCAATTCTCAATTTCTAATGTCGTAAATGATCCTTAAAGAATGTATTCAAATATTTAATAACAAAATTCTCAAGCAGTTTTCGAAATATACGGTATTCAAAAATATAGAGATTTATATCCGTAAAAATATTCTGAAATAATTAAAAATTAAATCATTCTCAAAATGTTTTACATACGGTTAATGGTAACCCTGTGCTTTACACAAATCTAACTGATAAAAAAAATGACGAACGTGCAAAATATACACTTCGTTTTTATTTTAGTGTATAAACAATTTGTCTTTATTTGCGTTTACTAAACATTATTTTTATGAGTTTCTCATATTTCAGTAGTTCATTTTTGCTCAGTTTATTTGACTCGATCATTTATGTTATTATATCTGCATTTCATTTAAATTTCTGCAAACAATGAAGGAGCAGGGGGCAAATTCTAAGAATTTTTCAAATGATTTTCTGAAACAGTCTATAAATTTTTTATGTTTCAAAAGAAAATTCATGCACGATCACGTATTTATAGGTATATTTAAAACATATAAATGTTAGCGTTACTGATCACATTGAAAAAGTTTCTTTTAGTATTTTGTTTGCTATTAGTACATGTGGGATTTATGATCCCATCTGTATGAACATGTGGACATTTCAATTTCGAAATTTTCAAACTTTGCGCTTTTAACTACAAAACAGAGTTGCAATCGATTTGTTTAAAAACGGATTGTATGATAATTTATGACAATTTTATAGTTAATATGAAATGTTTTTATTCTCAACACCTATTTCTAGTTTCGGATATAGTGCAGGTAAAACTTTTAGAAAAGTATACTCTGTGCCAATTGTAAAAATATTTGCGCATTTGAAACTAAATTTAATTCTTTAGACAATTTCCACAAAACTACTCAACCTTTGCACTATAAGTTGAAAGTAAATTTTTAATGAGAACTTTTTTAATTTAACTTAAAGTGACACATTATCTTATTTGACGTTTTAAATCAAATTGTAAATTTTTGTTAAAATAAGTTAGAGATAAGATAATTATTATTCACTAGTATTTGTAAACACAGTGATTAACAAATGTTGTCAATCTATACAATTAAAAAAATCTGAAAGATATAAGAAGAGAAAGAAACGCTCTAAAAATCATTTATAGACTATAGAGTGACTAGACTATAGACTAGACTATAGACTAGACTATAGACTAGACTATAGACTAGACTATAGACTAGACTATAGACTAGACTATAGACTAGACTATAGACTAGACTATAGACTAGACTATAGACTAGACTATAGACTAGACTATAGACTAGACTATAGACTAGACTATAGACTAGACTATAGACTAGACTATAGACTAGACTATAGACTAGACTATAGACTAGACTATAGACTAGACTAGACTATAGACTAGACTAGACTATAGACTAGACTAGACTAGACTAGACTAGACTAGACTAGACTAGACTAGACCTAGACTAGACTAGACTAGACTATAGACTAGACATAGACCTCGACCTAAGACATAGACTATAGACTATAGACTAGACTAGACTAGACTATAGACTAGACTATAGACTAGACTAGACTAGACTATAGACTAGACTATAGACTAGACTATAGACTAGACTATAGACTAGGACTATAAGACTAGACTATAGACTAGACTATAGACTAGACTATAGACTAGACTATAGACTAGACTATAGACTAGACTATAGACTAGACTAGACTATAGACTAGACTATAGACTAGACTACTAGACTAGACTAGACTATAGACTAGACTATAGACTAGACTATAGACTATACTAGACTAGACATATAGATAGCTAGACTAGACTATAG